TAACTGTGACATACATACAAGATGCATTAAAAGTCGGACATTTTCTTCGCAATTTCTAAATTACAAGAATCAAAACTGTAAAACACATAAGAAAAGTTAATAAAAAATAAAAAATCGTATCTTGAAATCTAGTTGAAAATCGTATTGAATTGAAGTCACAAAATGACACAGATTTGCTGTTAAAACAAAGATATCATTTTTAAATAATTAATAAAATAATTTATAAAATCTTTTTCATCAAAATCTAATCGTGCGGCTTTTGAAACATCTTTATGCATTGTAATACCTACGCATTTTATTCTTCGTATGTTATTTGGTCATGAACGTTGAATATATGTTTTGATAATGCATAACAGACGAATAGAAATGTATAGTCAATGTGATGATCAACTATTCTCTTGACAATCAAAATTCTATTGAAGACATTGTACTAATGAATATGTATACGAGACATCGTGATACTTTTAGAGAACGCATTCCTGCTTCCATAATTTTCACAAAGAGAAAGGGGATTCGCGTGTAGTATCTCTTATGCATATTACATTCCGTAATATACATGTGCGTGTTTGTACATTACAAAATATTTTTTCTGTACATAAGAATTGTTTCTTGGTATGTCTCTACGTATCTAAGAAAGATCACATTCTATTTTAAAAGCACGTACAATCCTGATCATGTATGATCAAGCAAGAATTATCATTATTGTTTTTAATCGAATAGTCTATACACAAAATTTTATGAAATATGTATATGTTTATACGAATTTATGATAATAAACAATATAATGTATATATGAGATTGAATAATGTTATAAATGACGATGACGTATGATTGTTGTTAGCAAATATATTTATATTGTAAAAGTATTTGTACTTTTTGATTTCCCGATAATTTGTCATAAAGTTCTTTAATAATTAAAATATTTCTACATAATTAATTTCATTAAATATATTTTTTATCAGTTTTTCGAGATATATTGCCCATTTGTATGCACAATAAATCATTGTGCATAAATCACTTCAATGATTCATATCTTAGTGCTTTCATTAATCATCGAGTTGACAAAGGGCAGCTACACCTCGATTAATCCAATGCGATTCGTCTAGATCCGTCGGGATTAGGATATATAATATAAAATTAGAAGAATGTCCAGTGGTAGCTAATACACCGCGTCTAGCACTTGTCTTGTACACTGGACAATAATAAACGTTTTTTATGTCGAATTTAGTCTTTTCACCAGGTTTTAACCATATAATGGGTAGCATATCGAACATTATCTTAGGTTTAGATTCATCCAGCGATCTCGTTTCTCTGTTCCATCGAGCTGCCTCTAAAAAGAGACCCTAAAAACATAGCGGATAAAGATCAATAAGAAATGTAAATAAAGAAACATGTCATTGCTGTAAGATAATACTGTTATTTATATTAAAAGCTCAAATTTTAATTTTTTTAGAACTATTATTTAAGATTATATATTAATAAAAAAACTTTGCGTACACTTATATAAACTCCATAGGAAGGCGCAGCATTGACGCTCGATTCGAACTGAGTGATCTCGAATTCAAAGTCTAACTGATCGATCGGTATTTTGTGCTTGCGAGCGTAATTCTGCAGCACCGCTGTCAAAAATGACTGTGTAAAGAAGAAACCGGATATCCAAAACACATTCGGTGCGTCGTAATCGATCCAATCTTGTAGAAACTGCAATCTTGCCAACAGATCATTCACATAGCTGCCGAGTGGTTTCAAAGAGGGATACGATTTTCTGTCCCAAGTAAGTGGCACTTTGCCGATGCTCATGCTTAGATAAACATCCTCTAAGTCTGGTGACATTAGTACCAACCCTCTAATGGCTTTCTGCACGCTGTCCAATGTTTCCTTGATGACTTTGGTGAGTTCATTGAATTTAACGAGTTCCTGACGCAACACCGTGTTCATGCTATTCATGTAAAGTACCGGATACTTCCTCGATACGTATTCAATATCGAATTGTGGTCGCATCTTTGATAAAATCTCACCAGCCAAAGTAAAAACTACTTCGTCCGTATCTTTCACGACACCTGATGAAAATTAATAAAACTGTTATTACACAGGCTGTATTATGTGGAAGCAGTAATGTTGTATTATCGCAAATAAATTCCACGCCAACATTTTTGTCGCTATCATTTTACGGTAGTATTTATATAATAGCAAGATTGTATAACATTTTTATAATGTTGTGATCTTGTGCAATAAATTATTTCTACAATATTTTCACAATTTTGTCAATAATGTATACCGAGTCTAAGTTAAGTGTACTGAACTATGTAAAAAACTCTCTCATATTAATATAAATTTAGCAATATTTCAATTATAAAAAGAAAAAAAAAAGAAATATAGCTCAATAAACATTTAAAATTAAAGAAATATATATTACTCGCCTACTCCGCTGATCTGTGGCTGGGTTAAAAGTGCACCGGCCAACAGTTGCATTGCTTCTCGATTGTCCTTCGCTATGTCTGCATTCTCATGCAAACCAAAAACTTCCGGCATTTGATTAATTGGTAAGCTGCGAATGTATTTCAGACATCCTTCATAATCCGTGTCCTCCGGCATGTGATAAATTCCACTCGGAGAAAATGAGTATCTGAGAAGAGATACGAATTACATATTAATAAAAATTTTAAAAACTTATAACATTTTATCTGACAAATTTAAAGTCTTAAAAATTTGTTTGTCTCCAACAATCATCCTTTTCATAATTTTGTTAATTTCTCCATTTTTAATTCATATTTTGATTCATTTCTCTTCTTTATATAAAATTAAATTACAATATTATTGAAATTATAATATCTCTGTTTTAGAAATGTAAAAAATAATTTTCTTATTTATTTTTATTATAATTTAAGCTTAAATTTTCTTTCGTTATAAAAAAATTTACAAAATCAAAGAGAGTATGTTCTTAGATTTTTTAAATTCTATATAACGTTAAGAACGAGTGATATTACTTTATTTCTATAATAACTTCAGGATTGTAAAAATTCTTCAGCAGCGAATTCAGCAGCCTTCTGTCTTTATCATCGGTCACTCTGCCTCCATAATTGCATTCTCCTGCTAGATAAATGAGCGCATCGAATGGTACTTCGTCGTAATCATTTAAAAATAACTAGATTAACAAAATAGCACAATTATAATAATCCCATGATATCTATTAAATTAATAAAAGAAAGCTGCTGCCATACCTGTAATTGCAGAGTACAGATACGCAAATCGGATTCATTGAACTCGTAAGGTATATTCCAGCCGAGTGGACCAAAATTTCGTCTTTCCTGCACCACCGCATGGAAGAAACATAGAGAGAACAACAGCCTCCTCCATTCTACTGGTTTCGTACACTCGCGGAAAAACTTAAAATCCGATATAGGATCGTTCAGGTAACTTCGCAGCAAATTGTTTTTCAATCCCTTCGGCGGTTCGTTCGTCATTTTGACACCGTTCTGCAGTATGGTCACCGGAAATCCTTTGGATGGATAGCTGGTTAACCATAAACGAAAATCGCGATGCGTGTTTTCAGGCACGATAATCTCATCGCATATCCGATCGAGTTCCTTCATCCATGATATAGCGAGATGGCAGTTCTGCAAGATGACCCACTCGCCGCTCTTGATACCATGCTCGATCATGTCAGTTGCAATTGGGCCCTGACCTTGACCCAGCGATATCGTCATGAGATCTTTCTTCGAGATCCCGCGATCTTCGGCGAACTTGATCAACCCAGCCATTGGATCCGATCCAGGCGAAAGCACGAAGATGAGAGGCGTAACATTGCTCGAGTCGTCGTATGAACTCTGGAGATCAAATGGTGGCGGTTCCACGAAAGATGCGTTCATCTGACGGATGATGAATGCCTGAACAGCAGCGATCAGTTTGTCGGTTCTTATGCATCTCAAGATTACAAGCTTCCTCAAATTCTCATCCTCATGCTCGAATGGTGGTGGGAAAGAATGTTCCTGTGGGTTCGACAGATCGTAGTATGCTTGCCACTGTGATATGTTGGATTGGAAGGATGTCCTCAATTTTTCAAGACCTGGCAGGAGACTAGCTCTTACGATCTCGGACCAGGATTTATCGGATAGCCATGAAGGATCAGGATTGGGATAAGGATTGTCGAAAGC